ACTAGACTGTTTTATTTAATCCCACCACAATAATTTTAACCCTGAAAAGAATAACTTTTTGATGGCATTACTATTCTTTAGTATGAACTAAAGATCATACTTTAGCAATTAGGCAATTCATCTTTAGATAGCTTTATTATTCACGCGTGCTACAACAGGGAAGAATCCATCATTGTTAAGAGACAAGAATGCCTGAAACAATTAGAGGAAAAAAAATGTGGTAAGTGCCACACCGTCTGCGAATGTCCCATGGTTACTTCTGCAGCAGGACAAGCAGGAATGGAAAGAAGAAACAAAAATACTACTTTCCAGCTACATCACAGTGACATTTTGCCAGAACTATCACCTCCTCCATTACATGTAGATGCGCATGTAAACATTGCCATCACCTTATACACTGCTTATTTTACCCCAAAGTCTTTTGATTTCCACCCCTCTCCCAAACAGCACCACAATTTTGTTGGGGTCAAGATCTGGCACACAATCTGTTATGCTGAAGGGATTGTACCTTCCCAGCAGGCATATGTTGAAAGATTAATGTGTGAAAGCGTAGTTTCTAGAGCAATACATTCTTTACCACACTACTCACCTTGCTATGAATACTCTAATAACAAAATCTTAGCTTCTTAGTAATTAATTCTTACCACACAGTCCTCATGAAGCTGCAACAGATTGCAACATGAACAGCAAGAAAAAGCAGATTCAGGAGAAGAGTTAGCCATAACAGAAAAAGGTTTTGTACTCTGTGCAGTGAGATATCTTTTTTAATACACAATACATAGTAACAAGATAGTAGGAGAAAATGTGCAGCATTTCAAACTTCAAAGCTCCGCGGACATTTTAATGAGAAATCTCATCTTGTCATGCTGCTCATCATCTCAATTCTTACAGACTCAAATTGGCACTTCAGTGCCAAACACTGAATTTACAGAGCAAGAACTGGAATTATTTGAGAACAAAATACAATATCCCCCCCCCGCCCTTTTTTTTTGTGGATGGTTTGGGGTTTTAGGTTTTAATGGTTTTAGGTTCTAAGGGAGTTTTATTTCTAAGCATCTAGAATAATGAAGAGAACTTACTATGGTAATTCAGAAGTCACTGGCAGGTTCAGAAGTTTATAGAACCATATCAGACATTTTGTTATATGGCAAGGTATGATTCTGAAAGAATTCCAATCCTTCCTGGTTTGTAACTCTGCTTTGATAAGCAATGTGTAGTTACTGTGACAAGGTTTATAGAAAAGTGATGGAAAAGACAGGCAACTCCCAAGACACACAATTTAACCCTCAGAACCTTGACAATACCAGTGTAAGCAAGGAATCCATAGCTTGCCTTCATTCTCCTCTTAAGCAACAAGGTCAAACCAAGTGAGTTTTCAGCTTCTCTATAAAACACTCACTAAGATTTGAAAGCCACCAACAACTTATTATCCTCCATGTTCAATACCCTCCACAATGCCAGTCCAGCATTGACTACTTGCAGAGAGCAGAAGCAGACAGATTACAACAGAAAACATACTGTTGTCCAGCCACAACTCTTCTCTTCATAGTCTGCAAAGCACTCCTTCCAGCAAAGAGTTCTGAAGAGAATAAGGATAAAATTTAAAAAAACTAACCAACCACATGGCATTAGAAATGCAGTGACCCATCATCTATGCAGTACTGTTCTTGAGTACCCTTCACCATGCAATCCCATCCTGCCCGCTGTCAGCAGTTAGCCACTCACCTCAGAAGAGCACAGGCAAATAATCTGCTTGAATTCATTTGTGTTTATGTGCTTGCTACCCACAGCACTTCAACACACATATGTTCCAAAAGCAAAGCACTTCTCAGATGTTGGTGTTAAACCCTTATTTAATTCTCATGTGTCTTAACATCTCAAAGTAAGACATCAAAAACACTTCAGAAACTGATGACTGTAATCTTGTAAACTATTACTTGATCTTGACTACATGAAATGAGGGGCCGTTTTTCTTCAGGTATTTTGTGGGTTTTTTGGGATTTTTTTAAGGTGAAGCTTACGCAACTGTAGGATGAAGTAATGACAACATGGAAAAAAAAAAGTGATATACCATCTCTTCCCACCCTTTCCTTCCTTGTTTCCTTCCAGGATTTAACTCTTTCAGAATGATACTCAGAAAAGGAGTTATCATGCTTTCAGTCTAATTTCTGAACATAAAAGAAGCTGACCTACTCTAGATAGCAGCATTAGGCTTTCTTCACTAAGGTGGGGAGACAAACCATTTTTCATAGAGTAGAAATGTTCATATCATTCTTCAGGAAACGAACAAAACTCATAATGGACCACAAACTGCAAATTACCTGTCTGGGGTATGTAAAACACAACAGTGTTTGAGAAACCTCTGAAATAAACTCTCTGTTCAGCAGATCTGGCAAGGTGTAAATCTGAGTAGGACATGCTGCTTTTTGAAAACATGCTTCAAGACAGATGTAACCAGCAGGAATGAGTACACAGGACAGCAATGAGAATGATCCGATGTCTGGAAACACACTCTACAGGAGAAGATGAAGGGCACTGGGGCTGTTTAGTCTAAAGGAATTCGGGAGGAGACAGGTTCAAGTTGTCAATGTCTTATACAATGTCACAAAAGAAGAAACAGTTCTACTGAAATACCACATGAAATAGTAATGTGTATGGGAAAATCTACATGTTTTCTAACTATCCATTTATTTAGTTTGGAAACATATGTCATGACTTAGAAGAATTTACTGACAGCTAAAGCAGAAACAGAGGTAGCAGGACAATCTGTTCCACTGCTGTCTGAAGGATACTGAACAGCTGTGACAACAGATTCAATTCTGCTATGCTGGCAACAGGAACAAGGACAGGGCAAGAGGAGAAATGGTGAACCTGCAAGCACAGGATCAAACACTGGAGATCTATATAAAAGAACTCAGTAACATAAAGTCACAGAGAACATCAACATTTCATTATTTGGCAGTAATTAAACAGGATGTCAAAGCAAAAATAGTATCTTCAAGCACTTCTCTCAATGGGATACTTTCAGCAGGTGACACATAAAGTAAGCCTGAATTCATCTGTATGTACATCCTGGACCTCAGTCTCTACTTTTTTCCACTGTGAATAGCTGCTCTCTCAGTTTCAAATTAACTTTGCACTGTGGTGTCCTTGCACAAAAAATAAATTATACAGGTGGATTTGCCAGATGGTTCTGCAGGTAGGCAGAAATTCAGCTGCAAACAATGACTACACCAAAATGGAAGGATGGGCAAAATCAATGCACAAAAAACAGGCAAAAAAAAAAATCTGGTTTCAGCTAATAAGGGAATCTAGCAAAGGGGAAATAAAGGGGACAGAATAACACTGCATATTCTAAGCAAACTATCCCACCACAACACTAACTTGAGTTTAAGATGCTATCTTCTAGCACTGGTAACTGACGGTGAGGTAACAGATTGCCCTTACAGAATTTCAAAATTTCATGATTGCAACGTTGAGTTATTTTTGGGCTTACCTTCTCTATACTGTCAACTCAAAAGATGCCTGTAATTTATCTCCAAAGCACACACAGAAATAACAAGCCTTTACCAGAAATTCACTGGTCTGCCAGCAGCTCCAAGTTTAGCTAACTGAACAGACAGACTTTGTATATTTCTACACGTTATTATGCAGGCTTACTAATTGAGCACTAAACCATCCAGACACCACATATTGTGGTAAGCATAGCCCCAAGCCCACATGTGCCATTCCTGCCTAGAAGCAGGATATCTTAATCACCTAGCAGTGTGCTCCACACTAACAGCAGCAACGGAGCTCTTACTCAGTTCAGTGAAAATGCAAGTCCACATCTATATATATTTTTCTAAAAAGTGGATATATCAACATTCATTCTACTCCTACCATAAATGCATTTCACTGCTAATACATTCCACTCTTCAGGGGCTCATGCAGTTGAAAGAAGCAAGGAACCTGGTCTGAGTTTGAGTATTTAAGAAAAAAAAGGAGGGAGATACAGAGAGGTATATTTAGTTCCAATTCATCATGCTGTCCTACAGTTGTATCAATTTAAAGGATGCACCAGGAAAAGAGGAAAAACAGGAGCTACATAAACAGCCATTACTGCAGAGGGAAACATTCCTGACAACCACAGCTCAACCAGTTGAAAATAACTTCAACCAGCTTAACAGATATTCCTCTAGAAATGCAAGGTTTCTCAAAAAAACCCTTTGCACATCCAGCAGCACAAAGGCACAGAATAAAAAAACGCCACCTAAGAGCAAACTAAAAAGTTGACCACAACGAAAGACCGTAAGTAAGGCACACAAGAGATGATGCACCGAAGCAAAGTAAAGCAGCAGTGAGACAGAACAATGCACTTGGTTGGGGTCATGGCTTGAAATAGATTTAAGAAGAGTGAATCATGCAACAAGAAATAAAATAATTTCTAAAAATCCGTCTCAAGACCCAACAAGGTTGTTTTACTGTAACATTGTGGGGTGGCTGTTTTGTCTTAAGAGTGCTTAGTAGGTATTATAGCTGGATCAGGAGAGAAAAGGGAACAACACGCGTATCACGGTATAGATCTATCACCCACAGAGCTCCTCCATGATCCACAGCCTGTCATAAGCTCTCACCAGAGGATTACTGTAGTGTGGGGGCTTGCCCATCACTTCCTTCTGGCATTAAAGAGTTTGCTCCGGAGCAGCGCTTTCCAAAGGTGACACGCTCGGGGACAGGAGAAAAAGAAAAAAAAAACCTACAGAAAAACACGCATAAACAAGCTCTCCTAAAACAAAAAATCCGCTCTCCGTACAAAAACCCCCAACTCTCAGTTATCGGCGGCTAGAGCCGGCCGGCAGAAACAAGAACGCCTGGGGTTGAGCGGGGCAGACTGAGGCGAAGGCGCTGTCCCCAGGTGGGCGCGGAGCCGCTGCCGCCGCGGGTCACCGCCGCCTCGCACCCCGGCACGGCCCCGGAGCACAGGGCGGAGAAGCCGCCGCCGCCCCGACCTCGCGCACCTCCTCATCCCGCTCCTCCAGTGAGGCGTCGTCCTCTGCCCGCCCGCCTGGGATCGCCCGCTCCGGCGAAGCCGTCGCCCCGCCGGGGGCTGTCGCCGCCCCGCCGCCCTCTCCCTCCTCGGAGAGAGTTTCCGAGCCGGAGGAAGAGCCGGAGCAAGAGGAGCCGACGTGGCCGGCGCCCCGCGCCCGTTCCGAAGCTGCTGAAACTTTCTCCGCCATGGCCGGGGACTCAGAGCCGTGCCGCCCGCATGCCCCGCCACCGGCAGCCGCGCTCCCAGCCCCGCCGAGCGCAGCGCGGCAGCGGCGCTCCCGGGCCGGGCCGGGCCGGGCACCGCGCTCAGGGCGGCGGGCGGCGCCTGCGGGCGGGCGGGGCGGGCCGGGCCGGGCGGAGCCAGCGGTGCGGAGGGCGGGCCCGGAGCTGCGGAGCGCGGCGGGAAGGCGGCGAGGCGGCGAGTGGCGGGGCTGGGGCTGCCCGGCCGGGCCGGGGCGGGGGGTGCCTGCCGCCGCGGAGGGAGGCAGGGGGTCGGGAAAGCGCGACGTTCCGCGCCTGGGCGGCCCGGTCCCACTGCCCGCAGCCCGGTGCCGAGAGGGCAGCGGGGTCTGCCAGAGCCCGGGATCTGCCGGGACCGACTCGGCGTGGGCACAGCGAGACACGCTCCGCTCCCGGGCGATGTCACGGGTTTAAGTAAGAGCAGCTATTTTACGTTATATAAGTGTTTTCTGCGCCCCTCACTTCCTCTAAAACGGAGCTACCGGCAGTTTATGGCAGCAGTTTTGCCGTCTTCGTACCATTTTTCAGAAGGCTACAGATGCCTAGTTGTGGTCTTGCAGCAAACAGAAGTCCCTTTGAGTGTTTCAAACGGGCATCGCCACTGGGATTTGTGACCAAGCTTTCAGTCATTGAAATCAAAGCAGATGGACAAAATTAAGCATCTGAAAGCTTTTGCAAATCTTCCTGGACGACTCCTTCATTTTGTAGGACCTAAATGGCTTTTAAACCCAGTTATCCTGTAAATTTTCAAAATATTGTTTAGATATTATTTTGGGAAAAAATCTTTTTTTTTCTTTCCTGAGAACACAGGTGTGTTAATTAATGCGCTAATACTATTTGTAAATATATAATAGTATATACCAGGGCCTTATTTGCTTATTCCTGGACCCCAGATTAATCCAATTGTGAAACAAAACGGACTAAGAGCTTTTGTAATGAAGAAAGTCCCACAGCATCACTACAGAATAGCTGTCTTCTTCATTTCACAGAAAGAGAAATGTGAGCACAGACCAATTATTGATGCACTCTAATTAAAACAGTACAGGGTTGATGAAAATAGGAACTGGAACGCAAGTCTCCACTTTTTCAGATTTCTAATTTGATCAGTTTACCCAGTAGGGCTACTACTACTACTACTACTATAGTATTAGTATTAGTATTAGTATTAGTATTAGTATTTAGTATTATTATCATCAGAATACTAGTGGAAGGAAAAACAATAATACACAGTTCTCCAAATCTCTGTTTAGAGCAAGCTTTTGATGCTGGATATTAGGTTGTAACAATGCTGATAGCTCTTTGTGGTTTCTAATCAGTACTTAGATCAGACCTTTAAAAGTTAATTTATTGTGGAAGAGGATTATAAGAGTCACTAGGGACAGAATTTGACCCAGAAATTTGCCTATACCAATATTTAATGATAGGGAAATATGAAATATTTCAAACAGGCAAAAACTGATTTTGGGTAAATGAATTACACACATATACTGCTCCAAACCTAGCTAAATAATTTTAACTAACCAGTGAAAAGAGTCCCTCCTTGGTACTCCACATTCTGCACATAAGTTGTTATATCTCCAGAACCTGGACTTATTCACAATTCTTGAGTCCTTGATTATAAAGCTAAACCTTTTTCTGTCAGAATCTGCCTCTGGTGTCATCCTCATAGCAGAACAAGTTGCTTAATTTCCTACCTATTCTTCATAATGTATAAGAAAATTGCCAGGTGGTGAAAAGCAACGCTGCAGGTCTCTGTCATTTCTTTCTCTTGCTGCCAGAGATGAGACTGGAAAAAAATAGAGCTTAGCCAAAGCACTTCTACACTTCAGTTATTATCAGCTGCCAGAACAGCGCCTGTAATCTGGGGGCAGCAAGGAATACATTAGAATAGTCACTGAACTGCTCTAATTTATGCCATAAATTGAAATCTAAGAAGGCACTCAAAATTTATTATATCACCCCAGAGTTACAAAGACAAGTGACGGTATTGTTCTGCTCTGGCCTCTAGACTATGTCAGATCACGTGCTTTGCTAACATTATCTTACAGGAACAGAAGAGGGATGCCACGTTGCCTATAGTAGCTAAATGCAGCAAAGAAAGAAGCTTGCATCATTTTCCATCCTGGAAAAGCACTGTTGCTTGCATTTCCCCATCACAAATCAGTGAGGTACTTTGTAGCAAAACACTGAATATCTGGTGTGACTTGAGAAGCTCATTTTGAAAACATTTGTTAAGACGAAGTCCATGTATAATAAGCTTTAAGCACCTCCTGTCATGCATTGGACTCATTTGGTGCAGAGTGTGGTGAGAAGGGTGTAGAGTGGTCTGATTTCAGCTATTACAGGAGGCTGGCTGAGTTTTGGATACATTCACCCATTTAGACACTTTTTTCCACCAGTACATTTTCAAGCAGCCATTCCCTGATTTGCTCTCTGTCCTCCCCCCAGCACATACAGCCGTCACCCACTCTGTGCAGTTACAGCTGTTCAAGATGTGTGTTATTCACTGCTATCATGTCAGCTAGCTGAAAACAAAATACAAGAAAATAAATACAATTTATCTCAAAACTCCTTGATTATTTGTTAATCATCCTGTTTGTTAAAGCTTGGGAAATTCTTACACTGTGTGGTTTTGAAGGACTGAAAGAATGACAGGGTAATAGATTTATTGACAAGTTTGGCACAAGATAGCAAGGTACAGAGGAAACACTGGAAAAAGGCATGAAGAGGTATAGAAAAAAATTGTCAGCAAATAATAGCTGTACATGAGACAGCAAGAAAATTCAAATAGGAAGATTATGGTTGACTTTGTAATTGGCACTTCAAGCTAAAGATCAGGATCTTTACCAAGAAATGATAGTGGGGAATCAAAGGAGTAGGTATATTGTAAAAATGACAGGCCAAAAAATAAACATTGCAGCAGTGTATTGAATAAACCAGAGAAGTCGGAGAAAATGACTGTGAAGCTCATGAAAAAAATTTAAAAGGTGAGACAATGGTGTCAGCAGGGTAAACATCTGTCCCATATTACAGCTTTATTAATGAGTCAAATTACAAAAAGTATAGCTTTATAGTAGCTACTGCATCAGTTCCATGACATCAGTTGTCTTCAAATCATCACCTTTTTGATCTAGTCAATGTTCCATCAAATTATTTTTTATACTGCTTAGAATATTCTTCTTCCTCTTTGATTCTGAATATTTAGGCAAAAGTCTACCTCTGGTAAGAAACAGTTTTCAAAATACACTGACAGTGGGGTTAGCACCTGAGAAAATCCCTAGGCAGAACTGACTCATGTGGCAAATGCAAGGCTCTCCAAATAAGACAGTTACACTATCAGTAACAACAGTGCTGTGCTTCCCTTTCTGCATAGTAAATGTGCATTAAACCTGACCTGGAAGAACCACTTCTTTGGATGAATAAGTCTCCGTGCTTACTCAGTTCTTGCCCTCCCCGTTGAGACTGCCAACAGCATTGCCAATTAGTGCCAATCCTGAATGCAGATTGTAATACGAATAGGCCTTTCAATATTTAATTCTAGACTATTGCACTGGTGGTATATAAATGTTTCATTAATGCTTTCCTTCCTTTCTGACATTTTTTTTTCTCTGAAAAAGAAGCAAAGCTGTCTACCTGAAGTACTAGCAGAGTATGGGCAAACAGGAACTTGCACTTGTTAAGTGCTCCTCCCAGCTCTAGCAGTAAACTCTGGAATGAGAGTTCTTTTTCCTGGGAATCCTGATTTATTGAGAATGCATGCTACGGGATAATAAAGACAACACTAAGTTTTTATGTGATGTGGTTTATTGCTACATATTCACTCTCAAGCAATATCCAAGATCAGGAATTCAGAAGCTTTCATTTGTTGGGGTTCAACTCCATGGTGTTAGTGGCGGGAATACTCACCAACACAAACAGCAGTGGTAGGCTGGAAGAGAATAAAAGCATGCATAAGGACAACTCTCATTTCTGGACTGAGACAGGTACCACCAAACATACAGCATAGTTTGGAGATCTCTTCTTTTTATCTCTGAAAATCTCCTTAGAGCTTAGGATACTTCAGAGTAAACAGAATCCACTTTGTGCCTCCCTAAGAGAATCAATTCTGAGACTCTCTTTCTTACCATTAAAAAGCCTTTTTGACAATGAATGTGAGGCACGATTTACTTTCCCTAGCACTTACAGAGCATGAAACAAGGGCATTTGAACATACTGATTAGATTCAGATCTCAGAAGGCATTAACAAGCTAGTCATGTTACATTGTAAATCCTAGCAACAATAGGCATATACATGAACAGAAATATTGCATTCAAATCTGTGGAAAATGTAATAAAACTGAGAAAAAATAAAACATTTCACCTTTTAAATGAACATAGTAATTTACTAGATGTAAAATGTTTTTGCCAAGGAAGTAAACACAACTAGTGTAGGCCTCCTGCTGCAGGTGCCTTTATCAAGACCAAGTAGTGTCACCATCTTGACAGCTAGAAATTATGTGATCTGGACTAACAGTGTAATTGCTAAAGACACTTTTCCCATATTACTGGCACTTGAGGACCTGCATGAGCACTGCATGAATCACTGTCCCAAGACCTGCAGAAAATCACACTTAGATGAAACCACTGGCAGATGTTTACACTCTGACACATTTCTGATACCTTCAGTATTAAAAAAAAGAAATTAAGAAATGCTGCTCAACACAATACATATCACAGAGCATTGGGAGGCTGTACAGGAACATGGGGAAACGCAACACACTGAGTGATCCCCTTGCCAGGTCCCTCAAGGCATTGCTTTGGGGTTATACCACTATGAATGAACATCAGAAGCCCACCCTCAGTTTCAGGCAGGTTCAGGGAGGCTGTGAGTCTGTGTGCTGGAAGGGACAAATACAAGTTAAACCGTTTTAATCTGACTTCAGATTCAGAAGTGTACTGCCAGCATGTTTTGTGGAGTTTCTGCACCAGTCTGCT